TTTTCAGTCCACACTGACTGTTCCAGGGAAGCAAGTTTATCCTTAATGAAACCACAGTCTTTTATTTCCACATTGCTTAGGGTGCTCGCAGTTTACCCAGCAAGTCCTCTGCTTAGGTTCTTGGGATCTATGACTTCGACCTTCTGTAGGTAAGGCTCTGAATGATTCCTTACTTCCACTTCTACTGTCACAGCAGATTCAGCATTCATTTTGGAAGAGAGGCTTCAGCTTTCCTCTGCAAAACTTACAGCAGCAAATTTCATTTAAAAAGTAGTCCACAACAAGATTAAGTAATGGAAGAATTACATTACCTGAAAATACAAATATTTTCAAGTTGATATATGTGTCTTCGGAAAAAGTATTTGCAAACTCCCTCTTAAGATCTTGCCCCTGGCTAGAAGCAGGATGTACTTTCAGTCAGCAAGACTGCACATTGTTCAAAATATCGGTTACTGTAGTTAAATTAAGTCCAAACTAACACACACTTAATGTTGCTGCTTCATCAGTTTCCTGGCTAGACAGGACCCAGATTTCTAGCAGAAAAGGAAGTAGGCAGCATCAGGACTTCTATCTTTGTCAAGAATAAAACTGTACAACCTACCTGATCTTTTCATTCTAGGCTTCACATGAAATATTCTTATTTTCTCACTCTAATCTCAGAAGAAAAGTGCTGTATCTATGTGAATAGGAATTACTCTTAAGAGTTCGATGAAAAGCAACACAGATCAAAAGGATGCCAAACACCAGCACATACAGCAGCCTAAAGCATTTAATTGTAGAACCTTGTTTTTAGCTACTCGGTTTTTGTAGAACTTCAGCTATCATACTTAAGTTTTCTATGTGAGATCTCTGGCTGAACCTCAATTTAGCTTAGGGCATTTCCTGAAATAAAAGGTTTAAAGAGATGAGAAAAAAAACCCTAGAGTTTCATTTTTATAAAAAAAAAAAAAAAAAAAAAAAAAAAAAGCAATGGACTTGCTCAAATATAAAGAAAGGTGAAAAGGTAACAATAAACTGTAAGAACATACAGGGTTATGTATCATTCAGAAATGCTTTTTTCTCTCTAATATTCAGATATGAAAAGCAAACAAAATTGTACACTGGAAGTGAAAGCATTTAAAGACCAAGCATCCAGTTAAAGAATGAGTTATGAATGCCTGTTTATTATAGCATCACAGACTTGTCTGCATTGACCTCCAAACTTGCTCAATGCCCAGGATGATCTGTATCAAGCAACAGAGTGTCTCTTCTCTGGCAAGATCTCACCTAATCTTCTACTTAAGCCAAAAAAGATAGGTCAGAAAAATGAAGGAGTGATTCTCCAGCATGACAGTCAGCTATTTGCCTCTTCCAGTGTTCCTTCCTGATGTCACAGGACTACTACAGTCCCTTATGTTCCACCAAGTGCTAAGATGATAATTTGACATGAATTTCTAGAAGCATGGCATACTCTCAAATAACTAATGTCAGCAGAAGTTGGATTGTGAACAGAGCACTTCACAGCACACTAAGAACACAAGTCCAATGCAACTCAAATTGTGAAATTCATCTATGGACTAGTATAATATCCACGAGAACTCTGAAGGTGAAGTCACACTTGCCAAGAACTCATTTCTGATGCTGCTCATCATAAAATCCATGAAAACACACAGTATCTTCTGTACACTTGCATCAATATAAACAATAGGCAGTAAATAACAAAAGGATCATTCCCTGAATGGGAATAAAAGCACCACACTCACAGAATGCCTATTGCCCATCAACTCTCCATTTTAAACAAGTCAGAAGGGTCACAGGCAGTACAATATATCCTTATACATACTAGCTATATAAATATGACTCCAGAAGTGTAATAGTCAAGATTTTGTATGCAGTATTAATTTATACACTTTCCCAACCCCAAGAAAATTCTTAAAAAAAAAACTGTATGCAAAAAGCAATCACATGAAGCCAAATAGGCTATGCTTATGGGTCATCTTACACATCAAGCTTTCAGAACATTATCTTTTAAGTAGCTTCACAGTGAAAGATCAGAGAAGGGTTACTGACTGTGCCTTACAATGTCTAACAATTCACCTTAACCACTTCACATTTGCAAGATTAGTAAGAGAGGTTCCTGCACTGCATGTCACTGGGCTGCCCCCACACTTAACCAACCACATAAGCCTGGACACACAGCCACACACAGCTCAGTCTCTACTGTAAATGTCACATTATAAACAAATAATCTAGTCCTAAATACTGTGTTGCAGAGAATAAGATTCTTAGGTAACTTCCACTCATAGATTACTTCCATTCCATGTTCCAGTTTACCTTTCTCCACATTCAGAAAAAACAAAACATGCTGCAACTTTACACTAGTCTTGTAATGAATCACTTTGCAGGGGGAGCGTCAGACCAGATGTTATAAAAGTTTAATTAACTGCAAGCAAGGATTGTACAACTGCACAACTTAACTATCAGTATTGTCTGGGTTCTGACGCAGTCCAAGCACTGTTCAGCTTCACCTTAAATAAAAAAGACTGAAAATACTGACTGTACATGAAAGCTTTAGAAAAAACGCAAGTAGCTGGTTCAGTAGTGCTGAAGTGCCACACCTAGCAACATACAGGTCCCTCCCCCTGTCTCCTCTACCCAGTCTCTTGAACTCCACATAGGTAACTCACACATATCTGCAGTTCATCTTTAACACTGATGTGGTGGTGCTCTTTTTGCTTCTTCCCGATACATGAAGAATGCTTTTAAGACATTTCCCTTCATTGCAGACATGAAAAAAAATGAAGGCACAACTGGTTAGGTTGCAGAAAGACAAGACTATGAGTGGAAAAAAATAGGACAAGACTTCAAAAGCTAAGACAACTAATATGGAGAAACAACAACAAAAAAAAACCCAGCTGCAGGGACTATCTGCGTTCACAAGTTATTTTAGATAAATTGAAGAGGGGGCTAGCCAACATACATTATTTGGGATATAGACAGCAAATTGATTGAAGAAAAAACTTTCACCATGTAATCTCACATCAAGTTATGAAGTAAGCCACACTAAAGGAAATACTTTTAACTACATCTTTTCCTTTAATCCAGATTACCTACTGAAATAAAGACTTAATAACTGTTATAATTAAAGCAAGAGTAACATTCGCCTCAATGTCAACAAATTTTGATGTGAAGAGCACACTCTCCTCAGTTTCTACAAGAAAAAGACAAGAATTGTAACTACAGATTCTTGCTTTAAGTTTGTCTGCAGTTATGAAAATAAACTGTTCTCCTGTTCCAGTTCTTCAATACTGTCCAGAAATTTAATGATATAAAGTTTCTCACAGCTCTGCGATTAGAGTTATGTTGAAAATTATTTCATGAATGAGTAACAGTGGCGCATAATATCCTTTTTGCAGAAGGCCTGGTCAAGTCATTCAGATTCAGGACACCTTCCTGTGTTGCAACAGCTGCAGGAATGATATGAAGTGATCTAGGGGTTCCCTGAAGAGAATCTCAGGCTGGAGAGAAACATGAGATGCTGCTTCTCTGCCACAGGATGCAAACACCAGTCCATTAGAAGGGCTAGGCTGTCCCGCTCCTGCACTATGGTCTGGCTTTCCTCCTCGCTTGGCCAAGAATGAACTAACCATGTGCACTGTAATTGGCAGTCTCTTTTCATAGTTGTATAGCAGGAACTTACTTCAAATAACATCAAGTCCTTTGATTAGTAACTAGAAAGCTGAGCGGGACAGTGTACAAGATACTGTCGAATGCCTCTTCTTCCTGGTTCAACTTTAAAATGTTCCTTTAACTCTGTTATATGCGTTCCTGCAGGGTCTTACAGTAACTTTCACTCTACTGCTTTAGTAGTAAAAATTACTGTTAAAACACTGCTCTTGGAAAAAAGAGCATCCTGAATAGCTAGAGGGCCCCCAAATCATTTCATATTTCAAAAGTTGCCTAATAGGCAGATTTCCAACCTGGCGTTTACAGCCTTCCTCCCTTCCCTTGCTGCTAGAGGAAAGGAACACATAGTATGTCAGAAGCTCACAACAGCATACATAAACAGGCACACAGTAATAATAATAATAATAAAAAAAACACACACCACAAACCTTTTCACTTTTAGTTGTCCAGTGTTTCTTTAGGCATTCTAAAGCTCAAGAGGTGAGAGCTTCAAGCCAGAACCTACTGCCACTTTTGAAGGTAGCCTCATTCAAATGTGCCATGAAAAAAAAGTTTGTGCTAACAGACAAGGTCTTTTGACTTTCTCCAAACAGTGCTTGCCTACTACAAGCGAACTGCCATAGCTTCATCAGAATATTGCTTCTACTCCACCTGCCCCACTGTTTTCTCATGTTTGACAGACCCTAAGGAGAAAGTGATACGTTAGCTGCTTTAAGTGAGACAACTAAAGCTCTGAACAACTTGGAAAACTCAATCAACTTGAAAAGGGGTCCCCTATTAATGGCATTCAAGTAACAAAAAAAACTTCCTTTGTCCCTGCTTTATGCCAGACAAATAGAAACAGACCATCTTAACCACGTGTGAGCAGTAAAATAAAGTTTGCCTTTGAATATGGAGGTGTAGTTACTGTAGATACTCCTTCAATCTCTCCAAACAAGCAGGCTGTCTAAAATATCCCTCTACCTGACCTAGATGCAACAGAACACAGCAGAAGCCTGCCCCAGCTCAGCAGGGATTCAACACACTGATATTACACAGCGCACTTCAGCCTGCTTTTGTACTTGTTCTGAGGCAAAAGAGCGGCAGTGCTTGCAACCACAAGCTAAACGTGAACTTCTATTGCACGGGATACACTTAGTGAACTGTTTACTAAGAGAGCAATTTTGATTAAAACGCACAACAACTTGAGCTTACCCTGAAGAACACTCTCAAACATCAGGTATCTGAAAGCCATCTAAGCATTACTTAGGCCAATTCATAAAGGACCCGCCTACCCTCTTAGCACACACCCAAGGACAACAGAGTGCCTGTTTTTATCTATAAGATATGCTTACCCTTAAGAGCACCTCTCCATACCTAACTCCAAGCAGCTAGCAGCGCTCTGCAGGTGACAGGATTGGCACTATAGCAGTAAGCATCAAGCACTCCAGTACTTCTGTGACTCTTGCACTTCCCACATCCCAGATGATAAGTGGACAACTGTTTATTTTAGTTCCCAGTCACATTTACTGTTAGATCACAAGCTACAGCGTAAGCCTTCAGCACGCTTCCTTCCTCAGCCATACAAGTAATTTCTTTCTCCTTTTGTAGGCCCTCACCTAGATAGATTCCCATCTGTTTGCCTCTGCTCCAGAAAGGCTCTCAATTAAAAAGACAGTCAGTTTTACTCTGCAAAACTGGCACAGCAAAGAGAACCATCATGGCTCACTTCAGATTTATTTTTGATGAACTGTCCTACAGCAGATCTTCGGAACAAAATAGCACAATTTAAATTCCACTCAGAAAACTTATCTGGTGCACGTATGTAGTAACAGAAACAAGACACTGAGTTACAGACAGTCCAAAAACTACTGGGTCCCTCCCCCCCCCATACAAGTTCTGGTTTTACACTTACAATCTCTCAACCCTGTTTTGCAGATTATTTCACCCCCAGGCAGACAGGTGCTCCAAGTATGATCCGCTTTGTTGCAAAAAAGATACACGACATTTGTATTGTACAGCGCAACTCAAAACTCAGTTATGTAGCTACAGATAATCATAAAGCTTTATGCTACAGTTGCAAGTTGAACTTGGAGTAGTTCATACCACTACAAGAAACATCCCTGAAAATACGCAGGTGCCAAGGAATAAAACACCGCATCTAGCTAGTTAGAAAGTTTATTTGCAAAGTCTTTGATATGAACAGCCAAGGTAACCTCCACTATTCACTCAGCTCATTTTTAGCTAGAATGAAGTCTACAGGGTAGACTTTATGAGCGCGAGTTAAAAAAGATGCAATGAATAAAGAAAGTGAAAACACTTGACTGTAGCAAGTAGGCTTGTTTGGGTTTTTTCCCCCAAAAAGCTTGCGATTTTAACAGAGAGGCAAGTCATCCAAAAGATGATCATCTGATTCATTTTGCAAGTTTTCCATAGAGGAGGAAAAAAAAAAAAAAATCTCTTTCCAAAGGGAAATACATTTGGTTTTGAATGGTTATTATATAAAACAGTGTGATTGCTTTTCTGCCTTTTAATTATAATTGATAAAAGAGAAGAGTGTTTCATGTCTTCTTTTTTATAACACTAATTTTAATGTATATTTTACCAATAAAGGGTACTGAAAAGTCTTTGTCATACACTGTCTACACACTTCACACTGGGGTAAGACGTAGCTGTTATATGCTGGAAATAACAAATTACACTAATCAAAACATCTAAATGCAAGAACACACACAGAACCTGTGCAATTTTCAAGCCGGGCATCTCTGAAATACCCTCTCTCTTGGAACCGTACTACCTTACTATCACACCCCAAAGCAGCATAGAAAAAGCTATTTATTTTTTTTAGCAACCCTCGAAAGGGATAACCCACCCCTTTAAGATGGAAAAGGGAGTAAAAGCACACTGATCTTTTTTGCGGGAAACCTTGGGGTTTTTATCCTCTTTTTGTAATCCAAGGCCAACGCGAAAACACTCGGATTCGGTTTTATTTGACCCTTTGCAAACTTTGCTTTCCTTCCACCGCTTTTTCACCAAACGCACGCAGCAGAGTACGAGGTGTCTCGGGGTTAGTAGCCGGGTTTGGCGCAGGAAGCGTCAGTCAAATCCTTCCATTTGCTTTGACAGGGGCGTGGGGGTTGTTCAGACGAGACGAACGTTCCTGTCATCCCCTTCTCCTTTTTATTTAGTGACAAGCAGGAGGGGAACTCGCTGGCCACGACGTC